TATATATCGCAATTACATGACTTGATGAAGTACCTTTCTACATAATATAACGCGAATCACAAGAACTACTAGGACACGTTGGAATATATCTGACAAAAATTGTGGACAATAGCCTTCTTGAGGAAACACGTAAACTTCGCAATAGATCGAGCTTCCAGATATCCTTTATAATTCCGGTGACCATGCAGCCTGCGAAAGAGAAAGATTTCTAGATACATAGTAATAGAGAATTGTCGGCAATCATCGAGCGATAAGATCGCCGCGGGCCTCCTTCATTTTCGTGCTTCATTTAGCGAAAAGGGAGCAGCTACTAGCTTTTATTTTTTTCTCTCACGTTTTTTCATTCATGTTAGTTGAAGTGTTATTGTTACTCTTGCTGGTCAAGGCTTTATATCCCTCGGTATGTCGACTAATCAAGCTGATTTTTTTCCAAAAGAATAGAGTTACATTGTCGCTAATGTACCCGCTATCTATCAATGAAAGGAAAATTCTCCACAAAGGAGAGATCATAAAGACACCGTTGTTGAACTTGTCGGAAAGCTTCACTTACCCGCGAAGCCACCGCATATTTTCAGAGAGCGAGGGGTTGGTTGAGTTAATATTTACAGTGCGGAAGGGTCGCGAAAAGATAGAGAAAGAAAATGAGAGAGGGGTTTTGCCACGTACGCGGGTACGTATAAAGGCTTAGGTACCTCTACTACTATCCACATGAAAATCTAATCACGACAACCCCCTACGAGCGCACGCCTCGCGTTACGAACCGCCGATGTAACTAAACTAACGAAATTGAGTTAGGTGCCGCGCATCGCTGTGCCGCAACTCCTCGTCAAACTAAATCCAGTGCGCCCCTCTTCTGTTCGCGCCGCATGTCAGGGCCATCGTCAGAACGAACGAGATCCTCTCGACTTAACCGAGTAAAATGATTTCGCGATTCCGAAACTCAATGCCGGCTTATCGATTCCGACCGAGAATTCTTCGGAATAATTGATCGACCGCTTTCACACATACGATAATTATATGATATTCGCTCGAAATGTCGGTATAGATATTTTTCTAGTTACCTAAGGTACACACGCACGGTCAAGTTATATTTATCAAAATATTGTGATAAATGGTGAAGATGTGGTACCGGACTTGATGCGTCGACGAGGGTTGACCGCGAGGCGAGCTATAATATAATATCCGCGTTACAGAACTAATTCATCTTCTGTAAATTCATCTCAAAAATAAAATATTCTGTGTCAGATTGTTTTGAAATATTTTGGTTATAATAAAAACATACTAACGTGTGTATCACTTATCACCGAAACTTTAAACCATCTATAGATATCGGTGTATATATATTTAATTTATTACTCGCAATAAGTTATTTTCATTTCATAATCTTTAAAAATCTTTTTGAGTTGTGACAATTTTGACGATTTTTATTATAAGTGAAATTAGTCCACTTTTGATTATTATTGATAAGATAATGTTTTACTTAACTTATTTATGATAATAACTCGAAAATCATATTTTGTTGAATTGTGTTACTTTTGAAATAAGGGAGCGAAATACATCTTCAAAGATTGAGACAACGAGGCGCGCGAGGGACTCATTCGTATTGGCGAAAGGGTCATTATAATTGGGAGAACAAAGGCGTTCGTCAAGAAACGAAATCCTGTTAGATTATCCCAAAGTCCAGTTCCGTACGGTAGGAAATATCGGCATTACCTTGTTGACCGAAAACCCGAAACTTAGGGTCAGTCTGGCGAGTCGGCCATTCCGCCTCATCTCGATGGACTTACGAGATTAAACGGTTCGCGCGCGAGTTTGATCGAGTCTTCTAAGTCCTTTCATTACGAAGCTGCTGGGGAGCGTAGGATTATTATTACGGTAAGAAGTAGTCCGCGTCTTGTTTGTTAAACGAGGGGAGAAAAGAAAGCGCGCAAAAGGGGTCGGCACAGCCGATAGTTCAACGCCGATGTACTGCCGATGTGAGTCACGTATCGCTGATCAATCGAGGATACCTTCCTCGATAAGTATATGCCGATCTATCGTCAGTGTTCGACATTACATTATTATCAATTATACTCGTTCCGAAATTGAGGAAATTTCAAATTTCTGATTTATTATGGACAGAACAAACAATAGATTGGAGCGGAAGATTCGTCGTTTTTCATTGTGCTCTCATGTCGAATAAAATTTAAAAAACTGAAATTCCTTAAGGAGGTTCTCGCGATGAAATATAAGACAAGTCTGTAATATACATGTAATACAAAAGTTAATGATATCAATAATATCTAGAAAAAATTCATTAACTTTTATCGTACCATTTTGAAGATATTTAATTTTAAATTTATAAAATTTTACATTACAAGTTGAAATCTTATTTTGTAGTTATTCTCTTTTAAATTGAGACTTGCGTATAAGGCAGCAATTTAAAAATCATTATAATTATATAAGGTAAACATTAAGTTTAAGTTTAAGTTTATTCTTGTAAAGTTGTTTTATTTAAACTGATCTTACAGTTTACAAAAAATGTATATTCTTCAATGAAAAAAGCTTGAATATATGTCACATGGACGTTACACATGTACATCAAATGAACATCTTACAACTTTTATTTTGTCATTTTGAAAGTATTTAATAACATATAAAATTAATAATTATATAAGATATTGTTAGCAATCTTTTTATTCCATTATTTTAATCGTTTTACATATTATTATGAATAAACTATTGAGTAGAAAGTAGCGCGAGAACCTCCTTAAAAGAGAAAAAAATTTCTTTTCAATTAAAAAACGAATATACGAAGTCTGTTTTTTCAATTCTACTTTCGAAATTTTGAACTTTACTTAACAATGTTGGCGTTAATTTAACAAAACTGAGCATTGCAGTTAGTTAAAAATTTCAAAATTGTCGTGAGAAATTAATAATTTAAACACTGATAGAATTTATACATTATTTTAGACACTATTTCAATGGTATCGTTTATATTATCCTGATATGTTATCTTATACAGGTGCTAATCGAGTCAGATCGTCGACATCTGCAGCGATAGACCATTTCGAAATTCATCAAGGTACCCACATATTACAGGTAAGTTTGCATTGTAATTGTAAACCATAGCAACTTCGCCAAACTGCAGTATCTTTGACTTTAATACTTTTTTCAAACTGCTATATGTTGCGTCATAAACTCTTTATTCTCCAATCGAAATTGCAAATCTGTCGAGGAAATTTAAATATATTTGAAACATAAACCATAATACTAAATAAAAATAATTCGGAAAAAATTATCAATATTCTATGAAGTCTATCTTTTCCTCAAGAGAGAGTATCTCTGTATAAATGTTTGAAAAGCGTTTTACGTTTATCATCTGGGAATATTCGATCCGGAGTTCCTCACAAGTATCTCGTACTTTTTGTCGTCAGTCCCTGGATGGCTTCGCGATGGCTGTCGCAGCTGATGGCAGATTCCTGTACATATCTGAGACCGTTTCGATATATCTCGGCCTTTCACAGGTAAGCGCGGTTTATCGTTATAGCGCCGATGAAGTCGGAAACGACTGGAGCGCGTATTAGGGAGAAAAGTGCATAGGGGAAAAGTGATAACGATAACGAGAAAGCGAAAGCAAGTAAAAAGCAACGTGGGTGCGCCAAACACGAATGCAACGTGTGTGTACCGTCAACCGGAAGGCCAGAGATAGTAGAAATATATAAAGACATAGCAGAGGGAGGAGGAGGAGGAGGAGGAGGAAGAAAAGAAGAGAGAAAAGTTGACGGAAGAGAAGGAGGTTGAAAATGTTGAAGTTGTGTAGCGATGGTATAATATCGGCAGCGGTGGCGGCGGCGGTGGAGGTGGCGGTGGCGGTAGCGGTGGTGAAGGTGGTAGCGATGGTTGCAGAGCTAGCGAAAGAGGAGGAGAAGGAAAAGTTGATAGCGTTGTAGAAGAATAAGGAGGAGAGGTCAAGGGAGGAAAAGAGGAGAAGGTTGTACGAGTTGGCGGCCATACTGGCTGGCACGACGGCGAGCATGACATAGAACGGGGGGAGCGAGGGGGAGGAAAGGGAGGGTAGGATGGGTGGATGGCGGCGGGCGGAGGTGGTCGCATGCGGCTCACGTAGCCTCTGCACGGCGGCGTGTTCGCCATTCCTAATGCCGCGAGCGAGAAGGTGGACGGGGAAAGAGAGTAGAGAAGAGCGGTGCCGGGGGGATAAAGCGGGGAGAAGGAGGGTACGGGAGGTGACCGGTGTAGCTCTAGCCTCTCGGTTCTCTGCGAAGCTCGTGGGGCAATCAATAGGGTGTTTCGGGGATTCGGAAAACCGACGGGAAAGCCGACGTTGGCACAAACATGGCTGCACCCGCCTGTTCACCTTCCCTGTAGCTGGCTTCCTTCAAATTCTACGTACCCCTATGCACCTCTACGTATCCCCTGCGTACCCCTACGTGTCTCTCGCGCCGAAATCGATCTGGTGGCACGAGATAAATCCCACCGAGAGAGAAAACTATTGTTTTTAATTCTAGGTAGAGATGACGGGATCAAGCGTTTTCGACTACGTCCATCAGCAAGATCACGCCGAGGTCGCCGAGCAGCTCGGTCTGGGACTCGCGTCGACGACAAGCACCTCGGCCCCGCACTCGTCGAATTCTGGTCTAGCCTCACCGAGTAGTGGTGCGTCGGAAGAGCACGGTTCGTCCTCTACCGCGAATCCCGATGGTAAATTTTCCTGCAACACATCATGCAAAAAAACGTTGCTCGCTAACCCTTGAACTGTGAAAGTTGAAAACGATTTTTTAAATTTTATTCTTTTGGCTCAAAGGATTATTTTAACATATTGATTTTTATAATAATGCCATGGCGTCTGACTTCCATCATTAAAAAAGATAAAACGGTTAAAGAATGCAAATATCCGAGTGTATTGTATTTCGGGGATTCAATTCCTTTTTGTATCTATTCTCAGTGTCCTCGGTAATGTCGCTGTCGGCGACCGGACTGTACAAAGGGTACGACCGGGCATTTTGCGTTAGAATGAAATCCACTCTGACGAAGAGGGGGTGTCATTTCAAGTCGTCTGGTTATCGGGTAAGTGAAATCGCTCTTGATAAAATTAATAAAGTTTTGAATTATGCTTATTTTTACATTTTAATTGGCGCTATTTAATATACGATAGTCCTAATATTTGTGCAAGAACATTTTTACATTTTTTTAATAATATATTTTTTACACGCGCGTATACAGGTCGTACTGTTGCTGTGCCGTTTGAGGCCGCAGTTTATATTCAGTCATGCGAGGAAGTCTGCGCCGCCTTTGATGGGCATGGTCGGACTAGCTATCGCTCTTCCACCGCCCAGTGTACATGAAATTCGTCTTGAAACCGACATGTTCGTCACACGGATCAGCTTTGACTTTCGGATAGCACATTGCGAGCCAAAGTGAGTACCGTTTGCATCGAATCAATCCAAGCAGAACAATAAGTCATCATTAAAAGTCATTTTTCGATTCATTTTAAATTCATTTTAATGTTTTATCTTATGACTTGTTGCTTTGAGAAGTCTGTAGTGCCATTGAAGAAAAATCGCACATTATAGAAAAATTACAACAATAATAGTGGACAATTTTGAGACCCACTATCGAAAGTGTACATTTATACGTACATAAAGTGTAAAGCCACAATTTACAAATAAAATTATTCCTTTTTACAGTAATTGAACACTTTGCAAAATTAAATTTATAATTAAGAATTAGAAATAATAAAGAATAAATTAAATAGAGATTAAAGTTAATCAACATTGATAGAAATGGATATGAAACAGATGAATCTATAAGACGACTTTGTAATAAAAGCATTGTAATTCATGTGTTCTTCTCAGAGTGTCCGAATTGCTGGACTACACCGCCGATGAATTGACGGGGAAGAATCTCTATACGCTGTGCCACGGCGAGGACGCGAATCGTCTTCGGAAGTCTCACATAGATCGTGAGTATGACTGGTAATAATTCGCCACGTTCGATCGTAGTCGAGTCGAGTGAGTACCGTTTGCACGATCGCGCGCAAAGTCACACGCGAGAAGATCCTCGCTCGCTTTCCCTAATGTTTTCTGTGTAATGTTCGAAGGAATGTACGCGTGTGAATTCTGAGTAATTTGTCTTAATTAAATAATATATAGTTGCGTCGCGCGAATTTTTGCGAGTGTCGATTACGTCATCGCGATCGTGGGAGGTGATTTTTCGCCGATGATCTACGACGATGTGCTTCTCTGTAGTAATATTTCGTTTGTCGATTAAATTATTTTAAAATGAAAGGTTATATGCTCAAACGAGAACGGGAACTTATGAAATAAATAGGGGACACTAAAAAACGGACAAGAGAAAGAAATAATAGCTGCGGAGAAAAATGAGTTGCAAAATTTAGAGCTGCAAGAAATAACAAGTCGGGAAAGGAATACGCAAAGAGAGATAATTTGAACTTTCTCTTTCTATAAATTTCCATCAAGCAAAAATTAATTGCGAAAAATTTCTTAACGAACGATTAACGGACGTGACAGTGTCGGGTCGTTAAATAAAATCCACAAATAAGGATTAAATTAATGTTTTAATGCCTTTTTTATCTGTATAAAGCAGTGCAAAATAAATTTTACACGTTTTAATATCACTGTCTTCTTTTTTTCGCTGCAGTCTGTACTCGAGAAACAATTAACGAAAATAGAGCCGTCACGTTATTCATATACATACGTCCCCAACAAACAAAGCCGATAGATTTGCCACGCAGAATTTCTTGCTCCTACTGTTCTAGGAAAATACTTTGGTGAAAGAGAGCGCGATGGGTGTCAAAGCTGTCCGGGAAGAGAGAAAAGCACGAAAGTATTAATACGTTGGTCTTTTCGACTGCGCGCGACCGCTTGCAGATTTAGTAAGTACGTATCTGTTTGTATTTGAACGTTTCACATAAAATTACTAGCCACGTAGGCGTTGGGGATAACGTTTCTCATTGACAATCATTCAATCGCGCAGATAATTATTCGTAATTATAGCTCTGAATATATTTATCGTGCGACTCCCCTGTAAAACAAATGAATCGCTCTTTCGTTAATTGAGTGTTTTTCGAGATACGATA